CCCCCCCCCCCCCCCGCTTCTTTGAAGCAGTTTCTTCCTGTGCTGGTGGAGGAGCGAGAGAGCGACTGAGAGAGCTGACCCAGAGAGAAGGACAGGCTTCGGTTGCTTCCTCCCTCCCCTTCTTTCATTTGTGTCCTTGATCCCCGATCCCAGCAGCATTCACCGAAGGCTTCTTAACATTATATCGGCGTATAACACGCATACATCATTTGCCCCCTATTTTCAGGGGGGAAAAAGTGCGTGTTATACGCCGATAAATACGGTATTTTACTGGCTGGTTTAAAGGAAAAATTGTGCAAGAAAACAAGATAAGCTCTTGTGGCATTGTGAGCTTGTGGGAAAATGCCATATTGTTATATGAAAACAGGAAGCAGTACTGTATGACATTTATGAAGATTTTTTTTTCATGCGATGTTGATGGTGGTGGTTAAATAAATCCCGTTGGCTCAACCCTTGCAGATGCTTCTTGGGGTGAATCCTGCTAAAGCAGCTACAAACCCTTTGCCTTGAAAGTGGGAAAGCTACTGTAGTTTCCGTCTCTGCTAACCAGAAAGCAATTGACAATATCAAAAGGATTTCATGGGCCTTGTCTATTTCCCAGGATTTTTACATTTACTCAACATACTTGTAATTGTTTTTAATGCTGGGGAAGGGAGGGCAAGGGAGGCCTTGGAGAAAATGGAGGAACATGGGAAGGACTTCATTTTATATGGGAAAGGATAGGGATGTGTGGTTATTTTTCTCCCAGAAAGGCACAAAAATGCATATAAGAAGCCATAAAGTATACAGGAACCTTTTTCATTTATTCTCTCTAAATAAACCAGTAAATTGAGATGAAGGCTTTTTATCTATGTTTAATACATATGTACAGTATGCATATAGTACAGTACTAACTTGGTTAAAGATTAACAGGCACATTGATATTTTCCAATGAGCTGCCTGAAAGCCTTTCTGTAAAATAGTTTTCTGAAGAGATCAGCTTTTTTGAGGGTGGGTGGGAAGGATTAAAAATGTTGAAGAAACTTCAATACCTTTCAGTCTGTGCTTTGCTTTGGTCAAAATGAGTGTGGGGTGTATGCTCATTCTTCACTCATCAGTTACACATGTGTGAGTGTGTTTATCCTATTGCCTATTGTTTTACATTTGTACAAGGATATTGTAGCTAAGTATTCAGTTGTATCATCTGCAAAAAAAGAAAAAAGCACAATTCTATGCTTTGTCTTGCTTACAGACATTAAATAATTACTTTTACATATACCTGCTGTCTTCTTTTGATGTAAATATTTACATTCCCCCCATCTGCTAAAATAAATTATGTAGATATAGTGCATATGACTTGGAATTTCAGAGGAAGGCTCTCCCAAATGATCCAGATCCATCTAAATATGCATATCTTTGTAGTTTCTGGCTATATTCCTTTCTGCCCCATTATTAGTGAAAATAATTTTGGCTTGTCAGAGAAAATAAGTCTCTTTCCCCAACTCTTATTACTTCTGGAAAAGTCTCAATTATTTTAAGAAAGAAATGATAAAAAGATTACATATGAATGAGACTGAACTATGGGTCTTTGCAGTGTCCTCCTTACTATTAAAATGAAATGATGCACACAGAACCAAATACTCAATCCCAAACTAAAGTACATATAAAGCAAGCTTTTTTTTAAAGGGGGGGTCCAGCTCAATGTCAGGCCTTGCCATTAAAAAAAACCCCAGGGGTGATAGTAATATTTAAATTTTCTTTGTAAAATGTAAGTACAACAAACTGCATTGGTCAAAAAGTGGATCCCATCCATTTCAATTAAATGTATTTGTCACATGCATTTAGTACTGCAGCTTTAAAGTGTACTTGCTGACAAGTTAATGCTGCTAATCATGTCCTTGTCTATATACCCACAAACTCTGTAAATTACAGGATGCCATGGTTGTTTAATAGTGGGCTGTGTAATAAGTTACAATTAGCAGGATTTGTTCAATAAGTCAAGCTATAAACATTGATTTAGAAACCACAATGCTTTGGCTGACAGATTGCACTAAGTAGAACCAGTCAAACCTCATTATGGCTTAGATGTTTGAACCCAGACTTGGAGACCAGGGAAGACAAGCCATTTAAGACTTTCATTCTTGCAAATTTCTACCCCAGAACTGATTATTGCAGTGACTAATTAGCCTAATCCATTCAGGTAGATATAAATTACATTGATCTAAAGAATATAATTGTTACTAATGCTGAACTTTTTTTTGCAAAGAAACAATTCATTCCAACCGTCTCAGCTTTAGAGGTTTTTCAATAATTTTAACTTGCACACACATTCACAAAGGTATTTCCAGTAAAACCTGCAATGCCAATTCATCCTCATGTAATCAACCTTGGAAAACTACCCTAATCCTATGAATATTTGGCAGAAAGTAACTTTAGTGGTTTCTAGTCCCAGCAAGATAAAGGAAGATCTAATAAACCTATGTTTAACTGTTATGAAAAACCACCAGTGCAGACTGGATACCTGGGAAATAAAGGCAGTTACATTCTCCATCCTCTCCCATTGGAACCTGGGTTGCTCACCACTACAGCTCAAGTGAATTAAGTTCTTATACTATAGAAATATTTGCACCAGTTCTGTGTCACTTAAAGTCAGCAGGTTCTCACAATACCTGGTTGTCAGAATCAAACAGGTTTTCAGTGAAAGGGCATCAGAGTTCCAGATAAGAAAATGAGTGTTTTTGTACATGTGCAAAGTGGTTTTCCCTTTTCCCAGCCAGAGCCACTGACACAACTTTGATTTTTTTTTTTTAAAAAAAAAGATCTTTAGCAGAAAGTTACAGGTCTAAAACCCTGCAAACGATCTTGTCATCAGGTTAGCCTTGGCAATCTCCAGAGTATTCTTTCATCTTAGTTCTCAGTCTGTAAAATGGAAACACTGCAGATTGTTGAGAGAGCTATGAAGTGGGGCACATTTACACTGCTACAACTATAAGAAAGTAAAGAAAACAAAAAAAAAGAAATTTCAAATTTTGGTGGTAAATGAATGGTATATTGAAATTTTTAGGACTAAGGATTCCCTGGCTAGGGAATCCATCACTAAATTAATTCTTATCTGTAAGATTTCAACAGTGTGGGTTGAAATCTTATTTTCTTGCATTCCTAAGAGCAAACAGACTGGAGGTGGGGGGTAGAAGACAGATTACAAGGCAGTGGTGATGGGGTCCCCTTGTCCTCCTGTTCTTTTCCAGACAGGGCAACAGGAATAAGTGCCCCGGACATCCCACACTCCCTATGGTTTAGTACCCTAACCAAGCAGCCCTTCTCATCAACCTGTACCCCTATTTAAACAAACACTCCATTCCAGGTGGACTTGACTCTCTTCTGAATCAAAAGCAAAGGAACGCCTGTTTGAAGAGGTGCACCCCACCCCCCCCCCAGCCTCCACCTGAGCCTACCAAGCTGTCCATCTTTTTCGGAAGGTCATGCTGTAATCTTGGAGGTGTAACATATGTGGAAGGTTGGAGCTGCTTTCCTCCTGTGAAGGCTTTTGGTTTATAAAATAATTTTCCTCTAGAAAGTATGCCTTTATTCTATGGCTTCATTCCTTCTGCTTCATTTTCTGTGTGTTGATTTTATTTTATCTTGCTTTTCAGTTGGCATGGAGGTTTTTTGGTCAGAATTAAAACCTGATTGTCCCAGGTACTCTCCAGTACCTGGGGAGAGACCCCTTGTCTCTGATCTATGCTCCCCAGCACCATTCAACAAAGTTCAGCGTGATCACATTTGACTGACAAAAATGCCCGAGAGACAGAATCACGTGTGAAAGGAAAAGGGAGTGGAAAAAAGAAGAGGCGTCTGGCACAAGGAAAGCAACAGAACAAGAAAATGAGGACATGAAAGGGAAAACCGAACAAAGGACAAGGAAGAATAGGAGTGAAAAGAAAAAAATTTGACTGTGGGACTCATATGCATCCCTCATAAAAACACACTAAACCTCAAACTAAATGTGAGAATCCGTCCCTGTGCTTAGGCAACCTCTGAATTGGATAGGAATTGTTCTCCAGTGAATATACAGCAAGCACCTTCATCCATGGGCCATGCAGTGAAGACAACCTTTGTCCCGTGGGCCACAGAAGTTTGAGGTCCCCCTCCTTTTTTTTAGCAACCTAAAACCATCACGGGTATAAACGCCCTCCGGAATAGAGAGCACAACGACATTCTCTTAGCCTGTGTCCTCAGGACACACTGAATCCCAGACTTCCATATTTTTTTGCACTCACCCCAAATGGTTGATGTATGGTTCGTTTTTTGAGTTTGCAGTTATCTAAGCCAGGCTGAAATTAGGGTGAGCACTCATAATTCAACGTGTTGTCTGAATTGGCTCAGTGGGGTAGTCAAACCAGGCCATCAAGCCATCGCCTTCATCCATCAGACAGTTGATTCCTTTGCTCCTGGTTCCTTATGTGAAAGCAGGAATAGTGCTTCAATTAGCTGTTGTAGGTGAACCCAGCTCATCCACCAGGCAGCGTGTCCTGGAAAGCCACCATACTGGATTAATTCCTGGCTCTGTTCATCCTGGGGAGACCGGCAGTCTCTCTCGCTGAACAGATGGGCTGGAGGGTAGAGGA